AAGTCCATAAATCTTAAAAGTTGCCAAGGTTGGAGACCCCTGGTTTAATCCAACTACTGAGTCCTTCCCAAGGAGAATTGACAGGCAGCTTTGTTTGATGGTGTTCAAGTTCTTCTCGTAGGATGTCAGTTGTTGCAAGCAAAGCTGCCTTTTGCAATTGACGGAGGGTGATTTTTGTCAATGCCGCTGGGGTTCGAGTGGTGGCTGCAGGTATCTTGGCGTACCCTCACTTTGGCTTTCTTTTGCCACAGTCGTCCTACTTCTATTTTCCGATCTTGGTGTTTGGTGACTTCACCTCTTCTCTTCTGCTTGTGTTGTTATTTATCTCTTCACAACAAACGGGAAGTCACCCTGCCAGTTCTTTAGCTGGTGTCGGCCTTCGAGGGCAGCAATAACTTTACTTTTAGCCGTTTTGGCAAGTGGCATGTCTTGAATTGCAGGGAAGATAAATTCCCAAAATTGCAATGAGCTAGAAAGCCATTCCTGACACAAGACAAAATAACGTGCAACCTACGGACAAAAAAGCATGTGCAGATAATTACACCATTTCAAACAAACAAGCACCAAAGCCCATTTGCGTCGGTCGGGGGTGCGGGGGGGGGAAGGTGCGGGGGAGATTGAAATTAGGTGAAGCTGCACAGAAACATTCTTTGGTTTTAATTCACGTTAATCCCTCTGAGGCAAAGTCTGAATTCTTCCAAAGCAGGAAGATAACAGCCCAAACAGCCAGCAGGAAGTTGTTCCTTTACTCAGTTTCGTGTTTAGCTAAATAACATCTTCCTCTTTTCTTTTTCTTTTTTTCTTTTTCCTCCCTCTGGTTTTTGACGGCAGAAAGAAAAACAACTGGGCGGCCAGATCATCTCGAAAAAGGAAGTTAGAAGAACAGCAGAGCAACCGGAGGCCGGCTCCTCGGTGGCTTTTAACGGACAGAATAAAAGCCTTAAAAAGCAGGAGACTTTGAGTTGGGGATGGGAAATCAGGGAGGGCTGGGAAATAAAATTTGCAAGAAGTTCTTCGCTTTTGCTGATCGGGGAAGAAAAAAAATAAGTTGCACAACCACAGCCTTATCAAACCGTTTTCCTTACTCCTTCCATTATGACTCACTCCCAGCCCACAATTTATCCGTGGAAGTTATTAGGGAAGGACCTTCCCTTCAGCAGCTACTCCCAAAAAACCTGCAGTTTTCAGCATTTCACCCCCTACAGAAGAGATCGCGGCAACTACTGGGGTCTCGGCACCTGCAGCGTGTGCGTGAAGCAGTTCGCTGCTCTGGACAGAAATGGTGTAGGGTCTGCTTGTGGGCGGAGGGTTGGACTAGATTACCTACAAGGTCCCTTCCAACTCTTGTTAATCTATGTTCAGCTTTTGGCTTTAGGTCCTCAAAGGTTTCTCAACCTCAGCCCCTTTAAGAGGTGTGGACCAGGAGTGAAATGCTACCGGTTTCCCCGAACAGGTAGCGATGGCAGCGGGTGGTTCGGAGAATGGGTAGCGATGGCAGTGCGAGGCTCCGCCCACCCACCCGGTCGTCATTACTTCCTGGTTTTAACCAGGAAGTAACCTGTTTTATACCCTCTGCACATGCGCAGAGGGCCGTGCGTGCATGTTAAGCGCATGCACTTCCGAACTGGTAGGGAAGGTAAGTAGATTTCACCCCTTGTGTGGACTATCAATTCCCAGAATTCCCCCTCCCCTGGGGAATTCTGGGAGCCAAGGTTGGACAACCCTTGGCATAGGTGGAGTTGCCAACCGAACATGACCCGAATCCAGGACACGAAGCTGAGTGAGGAGAAAGGCCAGTCTGGATGCAAAAGAGATGCCAACTCATAAGAGAAAAGAGGCCGAGCCGAGTTGAGTCCAATTGCCATTACAAGCTACTCCTCAGCGTACAACCACAATTGAGCCCGAAATTTCTGTCGCTAAGCGAGACAGTTATTGTGAGTTTTGCCTCATGTTATGACGTTTCTTGCCATGCTTGTTAAGTGAATCACTGCAGCTGTTACAATTAGTCACACGGTTGTCAAGTAAATCCGGCTTCCTCATTGACTTCGCTCGTTGGAAGGTCGCAAAAGGGGGATGGCGTAACCCCGACCGTCATAAATGCGAGCCGAGTTATGCAGAGCGTCTGGATTTTGATAATGGGCATGCTACAACGGTCGTTAAGTGTGAAAAATGGTCCTAAATGACTATTTTCAGTGCCGTTGTGTAACGGTCACTAAGCCGAGGATTACCTACACAAGGTTTTGCCGTCCGGCCGTGTAATGAAACGCCTTCCTTCTCAACGGCCTGGTGGCCGGGTTGCTTTTGAGCTTCTGGGCAGAAGGACCCAACCGCCTCGCTGCCCCCTCCCCCATTTCCATGCCTGGGCCAAGAAGCAGGAACCCCATAATTAAAAGTCGCAGTGGGAAAACTCCAGACGAACCCTCCTGGCTCCGGGACGTGCTCCAACCCAGCGGCCGTCCACCGCAACACCACAACACCCAGATGGACAAACGTCAATTCATCATCTGTTGTGGGTTTTCGCTTTCCCCCCCGAGGGTAACGTGTCGACTCAGCCATTAAAGTGGTGGATCTCACCCCCTTTGGGGGGCACCAGGCTGGGGAACCCGGCCTGGAACAGAAGGGAGGGGGCTCTCAAGGGGCAACCAAGGACAACCCCATCCCTTTGCCTCCCCTCATCTCCCCCCCCCCCCCCCCCCCCGAGACGCGAACACATCCACCATTTTATTGGCTGTGCCGGCTTTTCTTTTTCTGGACCTGTCTTGAAAGGGTGTAAAAACAAGCAATTCTTTTTTAAAAAGAAATCCCATTTTATGGGAGGAAAAAGGCCTGGATCCTGTAAAATTAGTCCATTTGAGGAAAAAATGGTTGAAAAAAATCTTATTAGAGATTCTCAGTCCTCCAAGTCCTGGTTGTCCCAAAGTAGCGTTTTTTCCCAAGAGGTAACTGGACTTTCTGTTTTTTTGGTTTTGGTTTTTTTTTTCTTCGAAGACGTTTCGTTTTTCTCATCCGAGAAGAAAACTTTTTGGAACTTTTCAACTTTTTAAAAAAATTTTTGACTTATATGCCGCCCTTCTCCGGAGACTCAGGGCAGCTTATAGTGGGTTAAGCAATAGCCTTCATTCTTTTGTATATTTATACGAAGTCAGCTTATTGCCCCCACAAACTGGGTCCTCAATTTACCTACCTTAGAAAGGATGGAAGGCTGAGTCAACCTTGAGCCTGGGGAGATTCGAACTTACAGTAATTGCAGACAGCTGGTGTTAATCGCAATGCTATCAGTCTGCTGAGCCACTAGGCCCTTTCCAACTTGGTTGGAAAAAAGCTTTTCCCTGTGACGCAGGCCCAAGCAGTTTGTCGAGGGACCATTCAAAGTCACGACGGCACTGAGAAAAGTGTTTCTCACACTTACGACCGTTGCAGCATCCTGATGTGTGTGCGTGTTTGTGTGTGATGTGATCAACTTTGTGAGCCTCTGACCAGCAAAGTCAAGGGGTAAGCCAGATTCGCTTAATAACCGGGTTTACTAACTTAAAATGGAGTAAAACTCACCTAAGAAGTTGTTCACTTAGCGACAGAAATGTTGGGCTCAATTGTGGGATGTGGAAGATTGCCGGCGATGCAACGCCTCCCTTCTCAGCAGCCTTGTCGCTGTGCCACTTTACAAGTGATTGTAAGTGAAGGACAAAGTATATAATGCAAGTCAACAAAGAGGATTAGGGACTGGAGGTTAAAACATATGAAGAAAGGTTGCAGGGTATATCTAATTTGATGAAGAGAAGGACTAGGGGAGACATGATGGCAGTCTTTCAATATTTGAGGGGCTGCCCCAAAGAAGGGGGAGTCAAGCTATTCTCCAAAGCACCTGAAGGCAGAAGAAGCAGCAACGGATGGAAACTCATCAAGGAGAGAAGCAACTTAGAACTAAGGAGGAATTTCTTGACAGTGAGAACCATTAATCAGTGGAACAACTTCCCTCCAGAAGTTGTGAATGCTCCAACACTGGAAGTTTTTAAGAAGATGTTGGATAATCATTTGTCTGAAGTGGTGTAGGGTTTCCTGCCTGGGCAGGGGGTTGGACTAGAAGACCTCCAAGGTCCCTTCCAACTCTGTTATTCTATTCTATTCAGGTATTTGGGGGAAGGAGCTTCACAGGTCCTGAATGCTCACAGTGCAGGTAGGCATTTCCAGCCCCTTCCTCTATTTAAACAGGAGGATTTGCCCCCAAATTAAGCCCCCCTAGACTTTCCCACGAAGAAGGCCACTGCTTTAAAGCTCATCCACCACAGGCCACCCTGGGCTGGGTGCACCCCTAGGCGCTGGGAGTTATTGCACATCTGGAACGAACAGCTGCATCAGGCATCCTGCAGGGAGAGAGAGAAAAGCAGCTCAGCCGCCCCGCAAGACGGGAGGGGAGCAGGAGGGGGGGGGGAAGTCGGCAGGGGTGGCTGTGCTTATGGGGTCATCGAGGCAGCCACGGACGCCATCTTGACTTTTTTGACCGTCCTGAGGGAAGGAGGACGAGGATGGAGGCGCGAGGTCCGCTTTTGAACCGCAGGAGCCGGCTGGGAGCCGCCCTCCCCAAAACTCGGATGAATCTGGAAATCCGGACTTGTCTTTCTCCGGACCGGTGGAGATTTAGCCCCGACCCGGCTTTCTCCTCGACCGGGGGCTTTTGCCATCCCTTCCTCCAGGTTTCCCGGACCGTCTTTGGCCGGACGCCTTCGGGGAAATCGCCGCGCTCAGCCGGGTCCGCCCCGCCGGGGAAGGCTCGGCCGTTGCTCTGCCCGCACCGCCTCCCCTGCGCCCGATCCCGCCCGCGCAGCCTTGCCCCGCGCAAAGTGCCCCGCGCAGCCCTCCTCCTCCTCGAGCCCCTCCCGGCCCCGCCCCCAAGCCTGGGCGGTGCCTGCCCACCGCCCCCCCCCCCCTCCCCCCCCCCCCCCCGTCCCAGCAGCCTTTGCAGGCGCTACAATGAAATTTGCAAAGTTTTTTCGATTTCGGCGCCATTTTCGAGTGGACTCGGAGGTGAGGAGGGAGGGCGGGGAAAAGAAGGGCGCCCCGGGCCGGGGGGGCCGCGGGGGGAGCCCTAAAAATCGCCAAAAAATCCCTAAAAATCCCCCCGGCCCGAGACGAGCCCGGGAAAGGCGCGGGAAAAGCGGGAAAGGCGCGGGAGCGGCGCTTGGGCGGGGGAGGAGGAGGAGGAGGAGGAGGGCGGGGGAGGGGAGAGGAGGGGGGAGGAGGAGGCGGCGCGCGCGCGCGCGCTGCCGGGGGGGGGGGAAAGAAACGGGGGGCAAACACCGGCCGGCCCCCCTGCTTTTTTTTTTCCCCCCCCTCTCGCGGAGCCACCGGGGAGGATCGAAATAGAGAGGGGGGGGGGGGGAGGGTCGCTTGGAGACCTCCCCTCCCCGCCCGTCAAAGTGGCCAAACTTTTCTGGCGGGGCGGGGGGAGGGAGTTGAGTCTGAGGGGGCCTGTTTTTTTTTTCTTCCGGGGGGGTCCGCAGCAGAAGGAGGGGAAGCCCCCCCCCACCGGTGCCACGGGTGGGGGGGGGCGGCGCTGCCCTGCCCCGAGGGCGGGATCCGCCCCCCCCATCTCCCCCCCCCTCAGGAAAGGCCGCCACCCGCGCCCCCTCCTCCCCCCCCCGCCTCAGCCGCCGTCTCCGCTTCCTCCGCCAGATACTTTTTAGCTAAATATGGATACAGCGCGGAAGAAGAAGAAGAAGAAGGAGAAGAAGAAGAAGCGGCGGCCGGGAAGAGTCTCGTCAGCCCGGCGGAGCCCGGCAGCGCCTGCGGGGCTCGGGGTTGGGGGGGGGGGGCAGCGGCCGTTGGGGAGGGGGCTTTCTCGGCCCGGCCCGACCGGGGTCCCTCTTGCCCAGCCCTCCGCCGGCCGCTCCCTCGGGGGTGGGGGGCGGGATAGAGGCTCCCGGGGTCCTTCCTGGAAAAAGACGCGCGTGGCGGAGGGAGGGAGGGGGGGAGAAGCCTGTGGGGGGGGAGGGGGGTCCCCTCGCAGCTTGCAACCGCAGCCCCCTCCCCGGATTAAAAAAAAAAAGAGGGAGGGAGGGAGGCGGGAAGGGTGGGGGGGGAAAGGAGGGGAGGGGAAAGTGACAGGGGCCAAACCCGGGGAGGTTAAGGGGGGCTCCGAGGCGCTTCCCGCCCCCCCCCTCCCTCCGTCTCTTTTTCCTTCCCTTGCCTTTCCCCCCCCCCCCCCGCCTTCAACCCCCGGCCCCGAAGGAAAGGTGGCAGCCCCGGCGGACGTGGAGCCGGCAGAGCGAGAGTTAAAAGTGATGCACCGCTGAATATATATATATATATATATATTTTCCCTCCCCTCCGAGGGAAATCAGTTGCAAAAAAAAAAAAAAAAAAAAAAAAGACTTTTCTTCCCCCGCCCCGGCCAAAAAGAAGAAGAAAAAAAAAGTTTCTACCGAAGCAAAAAGTGCTTGCAAAAAAAAAAAAGGGAGAAAAGACGTTTTCAATTTGCCTGAAGTTTAAACGTTTAAGAGAGAAATTGCCAGTGAGAAGATGGTTTCATTTCACTTTTTTTTAAGTATTTAAAATGGTGTTTTGTTTTTTTTTTCCCCCCACTTTTTTAAAAAAAGTTTTGGAAATGTAAAATGCCATAGTGTTTTCTGGGGTTTTTTTTGGTCCGGGAGATTGGAATAAGTGGGTCGAATTCAAAGTGGTCCTTTTGCAACGGAAAAGTGGAAATTTGTTTTGGATTTTAGAAGAGCTGTTTTAAAAATTTTTTGAAAAGGCGCCGAACGCTCACAATAAACTCTATTTTTTATATAAAAGTGCATTAGTCTTTAAAAATACACAGCATATGTCTCTAAGTAACTAATTTTTACAGCGTGCAAGTCATTATTTCAAAAAAAATAAACAATTTTAGAAATTATTTTGCCCCGTATTAAACTTTTTGTCATTTACATATTTTATTTTACAACCATTGATTGAAATGTAATTTAAGAAACTGATTAAAATAATGCTACCATGAACTAATATAAACAAGGTAAATTTTTTAAATTACAGAATTAATTTAAAAATATTTGTTTATCCCTTATGAAGCCTAATTTAGATTTTTTAAAATTGTTCCTTAACTTTGCTATAACTTAAAAAAAATTTTTTTTTTACAAAACGTGCAGTTCTATATTTTCAAACGTTAATTCTTATTCAATAATTGATTTTTTTTAAAGCAGTGTGTGGGAAATTTGCAAGATCCCAGATTTAATCTAAAAATGTCGACATTTTCTAAAAGTTTGGACTTTTTAATATACATAAAATCAATACAAGTCTCTTGCATTTCGCTATACTTTTTTTGTTTGGTATTTTTATACAGGAAGTGTAAAAAGTAAAAGGACAGAGGAACTTCTACATAATAAACAGTGCGCAAATATAATATGGCTGGTGATAAAAAAATACAATTTAATCATATGCATGCAGCAGCTAGAAGAATTTTGAGTTGTGGAGGAATATTTTTTCTCCTCTCTGTGCTGCTCTTTTTTAAAAAAATGCAGAGTAAAAAAGTGTGCAAAAAAAGGGGGGGAGAAACCCTCTTGTGTAGCTATGACAGGAAAGACCCTTAAAGATTAGAGTCTGTAATTGTCTAATTTTGCAGTCGTTGCCGGGTGGGGTAAGAAACAAACTGCCTTTTTGAAATCCTAAATCATAACTTTTCTGCTGGAAAAAATGTGCAAAAGGGGCGACAGATCTTAAAAAAGATAATCTGTTGTGCCGATGGGTGTTGTGTGTGTGTGTGTGAATGCATTTGCGTGCTCACATGCAGGTCCTATTAAATGGGTGTTTATTCTGGTCAGACTTTCTACTTTTCTACCGTCCTTGGTTTGAACAAATGGTGTTTTTAAGAGTTTGGTTTTTAAGTCTGCAATGCAGTCTTTAAATCTAGAGGAGGCGACACTGGTCCAACGGAAAAGCTCCAGGGAGTTTAAAATACTGTTCTTCGTCAGCACTTTTGAGGGAAAACTTTTACTGGCATTCTAACATACAGTATTATGGAGCCTTCCCTTCCCTTGTGCTCCATTTAAAAGAAGTAATAAAACTTCCTCGCATGAAGTGGGAGACTGCAAATTCTTCCTCCTTGCAAAAGTTTAAGAGCTGTGCAATAAGACGGGTTAGTTAGAGGAGAGTTTGGAGACCAGTTTATCAATAAGCTAACCCTGGTTTGTTTCTAAATGATCTTTTCTGGGGGAAGGGATGCGTGTGTGATTTAGACCCAGCGGTTGGTGATGAATTAAAAAAGAGGATGTGTTTTGGAGAATAATCTGTATTTTAGAAATTATTTATCACTTGTGGAAGTTTAGTTTCAGTGTTTAAGCTTGATGCTAGTTGAAAACATAATTGTGATACTGTTTGTTTATGTTTATTTTTAAAGGTGCTATCTTGTCTTAAGCAATGTTGAAACAATAAAGCAAGGAGATTGTTTTAAAATTTCACTGGGGTGAGTGTTGGCTTCTAAATTTTTCTATTTCTGGTTGTAGGTCAGGCAGATTATTCTATCGAGATTTTTTTCCCCCAAAAAAAGATAGTGACTTGGTTAAGTCCACTCAAAATTAATATTTTTTTATTTCACTCCCCACTTTTCACATAGGATTATTTTCGGCTAGGCTTTTACTGGAGGTGTTCATTCCTTGTACACAGGGAAGAAATAGATGAAATGTTCCATGAATATATTTTTTAAAATTCATGCTGAAATAGACAATTAGGGCACAATTCAGTGCCAGGAATCCGTTGTGCAATTACACAATTCAGGAGGTTTTCTCTTGGGAACAGTTTTGCTTAGTTGCTATCACCCCCAACTCCTGATGTGCTTTTCCAGCATTAGTTTTGTGGGGGCCACTGTAAATTTGAAAATAATGTTTGTGGCTTAGCACACAGTGTAGGCTTGTGGTTAATTCATTAAGCTTATTTAAATAAACCAGGCTTCACATGTGTGAATCCAGTCTCTCAGTTTCCTATGTGTAGGTGTGCACATTGTGTCTCTTAAATATGAATTAGATTCCACAGATTAGAAACACAATTGTTGTGAATCTGCCCTCAAATGTCACTTAATCCAGTAAGAATCTTTTTATAACAATCATCCATACCTAAAAATGTGTTGAAATGAGATGCAGGCTATGTTGGTTTCTGTTTATTCATTATCTGTGTCTTTGCTTATTGCAAATAAACTCACAGACGAGCCACAAACTTCTCAAAACTCAACTTTCACTCTGCTACAAAGGGAGTTATTAAAATGTTGGTTGGACGAGGGTGTGTGAGTAGGATGTGATAACTTTGAAAGTCCTTTGTGACTCGCGAAGTGGGGCTTCCAACAAATTTCTTTCTAGGCGGTTATGGTAGACTTTTTTTGCTACATCAATGTCTCTCAAGCGTTGGTGGCTTTAAGATGGGTGGACTTCCAGAATTCTGGGGGTTGAAATCCACCCACCATAAACCACCAATCTTGAGAAAAACCCTGTGCTACAAAGTTGGAAGTTGTCCCAAGTTGCTCCCCTTTGCTTGCTTGGCTGAAGAGCCATGGGCTCCATAACTGTGAAGATAATCTGGATTTATCCCTGTTCTGTTTTCACAGATGACTTTTCTTCAACCCTTCAGCTGACTTCTTTTTTGGGTTTTCTGTTTTAATTTCAGGCATGGTTTCTTATGCATTAGCTGAACCTCCACGATGGAGGAGGAAGACACCGGACAGACAGTTTTGGGTATGTTGTTGTTTCCCTTTGCTAGATTAACAGAGGGGGAAGGGAGGAAGGCCAACATTGTCTGGTTTATTACTCTGTCCAGTTTATTACTTTGTCCGTAGAGGTAGCAAAAGAATGTGTCGGCCTGCAATTTGATGATTGCGACTTCAGTAAATGCCTGACCTACAAGCCGTTAACAACATTCTCCAGCCAGAACATTGTGCCTTCTTTCCCACAGAAGTCTTCTCTAGCTCCTACATTGGTTGAGTGTAGTAGCCAAAATGAAGTTGGGTCTCTACATGGTCTCTTTCTTAGCAGTCCATAACCCTGGTTGCGTGCTCGTCTTCAATCTAGTCCCAACAGCTTCAAAATGCCATTCATAGAAATAATAAGTTTCTCATGGTCTTCCATGGACTCTAATGGGGCTCTAAGAAGATAGTTAATCTCTGGCTGGGATTTGGTTCCAGATCCTGGATCCAGTGGCCTTGTTTCTGAGAGGGAGAATAAAATCAACCAAAAAGGCCATCAAAGAATGGAAGCGATCAGATTCCATCTCTCTCTGAGGGTACGGGGGTTTTCCCCCTTGCAACCAGTATTTGGGGGAGGAGGGTTTTCCCCACCTAAAAATTAGTGCTCATGACTTCCTCTCGCAGCTCAAAGGTTCGTGAGCTTTTGCATTCATGGCTTTTATCTAAAATACGCATTGAAACCGTTTATAAGACCTTTGCTTTGTGGGGTTTGATGTTTTAGCTCCTGTTGCAACTAAAGGCAAATCTCTCCCAGGAGTTCTCTTTGCGTTGTTTTTATTCGTCGCAGGTAAGTTGACACAGGTGAGTAGAATGAACAGAGGTTTATAAAAGAGCCGCATAGGTTGGTTCAGAGCAATCCTCTCCCAATGGCAGCTTGTGGCTGAATTGGCTGGGAGGTTTAAATTCCCCACTTGTCTTCTCTCTGCATTTCAGGCTTTTAGCAAAAGCAACAGGCACCCCTAGAAAAGAACTTTTTTTTATTATTTTTAATTTTCTTTTAATACAAACATTTCATCTTTCATTTAAAAAAAAAAAGAACTTTGTGGTTGCTTCTATTAGTTGCTGTGAACAGGAACTGCTACAGGAACATGGGGTTTGTGGTACCCATGTGGGCAGTGGTCTGAATGTACCATCAGATCTCTCTTCAGCTTTCATGGGTTAAGTCCTAAGCTGTGGCAGCATTTCTGTGCTAAATTTCCAGGCAGGAGAAAAAGCATTATAACTGTTGCCTATAGTCCATACAAACATTCCTTAAATCATACCTGTCCATAAGGCAGTGAAAACAGGAGTCATTTTCTAGTGGCTGTAATGATGTCTCAAAGAAATATGATGCCATTTAGATAAACAAATTAATTTGTTAAAGTCAAGAATACTTACAGTTTGTTTCACAGCCTACAAAATTGGTTGCTGGTTGTGATACTATTGGCATTTTATATAACTTTCCATTTCTAAGGATTTGGGTTTTTTTTTTTTAAATGAACTCTTTAAATGAGTTTAGTTTTCTTCTTAGCCAGTCATGTGTTTTAAAAGCCTACCCTGTAGAGCATGTTCATGGAATTACTGAACAGGAAGGGATATCTAAGATTATAATGCATTTATATGAGGTGTGGACAAGTTGGGTAATTTAAAACGAATAAAGGAAATTGTGAGCATTTTAATCCAACTCAAAGTACTTGGAAGGCTTTAATCAGGCAAGGCTGCAAAACGTGCTGTATAATGCATAGATAAACTAAGAATTATTAAGTAAATGAAATAATTGGAGGGATCAGACCTTCAGATATATAAAGTCCTGCAGTTAAAAATCTTCACAGGACTTATTTTAAAAAAAGAAACTGCTAACTATGCTTATAATATATAAGTGTTGGTCCATAACAAATAAAATACAAAATCCATAGTTGCCTAACCTTTTATCAGAACATACCAATAAATGCTTTTGTGACTGACAGCAGTGCATACCAAATAAATACGAAGGTTGATGGAAATCAGTTTCTCAAATTGCTTGATTATCCGACTTAGATTATCTGTACATTTACGCTGGAGTAAATTAAACTTGCCCTGAATTCACTGTTTGAAATGCACCACTGGCTACTGCTGGAACAGGTGCATTTTAGAGGTGAATATAGGAATTCTGGCTTGGCGAAGACCGATTAATTTGGGAGGCAAGGCATGGAAAATCCTTAGTTTGCCTAAAACCCTACAGACTGTGTTTTCCCATCTGATGCAGCCAATGGAACCATAGTTTTGAGTTCTCCCTGAGTTGTTCAGAAGCCAAGAATTTGTTCTCCAAACACTTTATGAGATGCTGATTGACGTTCTGTTGTTGCTACTTGTTCCGTTGTGACTTCGAACCCTTTCTCCCTGTATATTTGGAAGTGGGGAGGGAGGGGGGAGAGAACGGGACCTGCTGACATCCTGCTTCTTGGATTGCTTTGAAACTCGGCTTCCTTGGGGACCCTCCCTCAAATGGCCAACCTTGAGGTGACGTAGCAGCACGACATGGTTTGTAGAGAAAAGAAGATACAGACCGTTCTGGGCTGCCTCATGACCTCAAGGACTCAAGTCGAAGAGAAGCCATCATCCGTCTCAGGAAAGCCGAGACCGTCCCAAACTTAGCTTACCTGGCCAGGTATGTTTCAGTATGAATACTTGGAGCGGGTTCTTGAAGCATCCGCCTTATAACTTTCCTTTTCCTTTCCCACCTCAAAAATGAAAGAAATAGGGGAAATGATTTCAGCATCACCCAAACTGTGAGCGTCTGAGGTCTTCGCCTCTGAATCCACAATTTTGGGAATGAGATAGAATTGCAAAGACAAAATTGAGGCCGTGCTGCCTCTGAAGGCAGGGGTTTCCAACCTTAGGGACTTTAGGACCAGCTAGCTGGGGAATAATTCTGGGAGTTTTAAGTTCACAAGTCTTAAAAGTTGCCAAGGTTGGATAGCTCTGCTCTAAGGGCATTTAAAAGTAGCTAGCATCCTTCCTCAATGTTTTGATTCCTAGCAGTATTAAGCTCTGAATAGAATAGAATAACAGAGTTGGAAGGGACCTTGGTGGTCTTCTAGTCCAACCCCCTGCTTAGGCAGGAAACCCTACACCACTTCAGACAAGTGGTTATCTAATCTCTTCTTAAAAACTTCCAGTGTTGGAGCATTCACAACCTCTGGAGGCAAGTTGTTCCACTGACTAATTGTCCTCACTGTCAGGAAATTTCTCCTTAGTTCTAGGTTGCTTCTCTCTTTGATGAGTTTCCACCCGTTGCTTCTTGTCCTGCCCTCAGGTGCTTTGGAGAATAGCTTGACTCCCTCTTCTTTGTGGCATGCTCTGGATTGCATGCTGCTAGCAGAATAACACGTTTCCTTGAAAGCACAGCTTCAAACTCATGAGAGCTACTCCCAAGTCAAAAAGAGACAAGATTTCAATCTGAATTGTCTTCCAAAATCCCCTGACTATGATCATTCTCCCCCCCCCCACATCTTGCAGCGCTCCGGCGACATCACAGCCCTCTGTTACTCCCAGGGAGGGCTGCAGAAATGGAAAGATCTGTCTGCTATGCTGTAGCAGCACGTAAATACTGGAGTTTAGGATGGCCTCCAGTATTGCTTTGCTGCTGTAGTGAAGCTGGCACCTGCTCCGGGAAACTGGCTTCCTAAAGCGATGCAAAGAGCTTTGTTCGTTGTCTGCTGGGTGAGAGTTTTAGGATGGGAGTTGTGATTCTCCCCAAATAAACCAACATCCCCCTCGCCATATTTGAGGAGAAAACGTTCTCCTTCCATTAGGGTGAAACAAGGGCAGCATAGCCTAACCCTAACCCTAACCCTAAAGTCTTCTGTACTCAAAAATCTAACTCTCCTGTTAGAAAATTTAGAGAGCTGCAACTCCGTGGACTTGCAAAGATAAATGAGAATATATTTGTAGGTCAGGGTTGAACTGTAGGATCAGTTCTTGGTGCTCTCTGAGCTTGCAGATGTTTAATTACCTAACTAGGTAACCTCTTCAGTGCTAGAAAGGAGTGGGATTGGCTGTCTTTTTTTATACCAATATAACCCCACTTCCTTGTAGCACTGATCATCTTCCCTAGTTGGGTAATGAAATGTCTGTAGGGAAAAAAAAACAAGCTCAGAGTTCCAAGGACCCCCACAAATAAGCAAACTGAAAGCTGCTGATTGTGGAAAGAGTGTCTATGAATATAGTAGTATATGTAGTGGCATATGAATATCGTATAGTCCAACTACTATTAAGTGTTGTGGCCTCTAGTAATCAGCAAGGGTGGGAATCTGTCCCTGGATCTTCTGTGGAAGAAGCCCACTGAATCAGGAAGGTGATAGAAGCATCAATGGTGCAATTTAACTGATTGGATTTCTGTATCATACTAAACAGTGGCTTATTTAATTAATGCTTTTTTTTTTGATAAAGCATAATTGGATGGGTTTATATACTAACTGACGGTGCATAAATCATATAATGAAGTGATGATTCTGGGTTTATTCCTCCAGAGTTTAGGGAGAAAAAAGGATGACAAGATTTTCTAGTAAAAGTTATTGCGGGGTCTTCTTGGTGCCATACCATTTTATAAAACGAATAATTTGTATTAAATGCCTGGTGTGAATCAACCATTGTGTGATTGTCCCGTATCTGAGGCGAGATAATTGGATGCTGCTGTCTTTGATTGCCTGCTGAAGTCGTCTTTAAAACTGAAGGACAGACAGAAACTCTAGCTTTGCACATTGAAATAAGCCACAGCTTGCCTAGGTTTGCAGGACAAGCTGAACCAAGATTGACTTCTTATAACGAATCCGGGCCACATTTTAAGACGAAAAGTCTCGTTTTTGCTTATCCAGGTGTGTCAATTTAGCTTCCTCTAAAAAAGACTGAAACATCACCTGGAGGGTAAATTAGACCCCTGCAAATTGAAGAGGTAGAAAAACAAATCGGGAATCCCGCGGTCTCTTTTCAGACGGCGGAAAACGCGGGTTTAATCAAACGGGCTCGTCTGAAAACGGCCGCCGGGATTCCTGCTATTTTGAACGGCGTCTCCTACAATCGGGAGATCTGAGAATAAAACTCTGCCGCCTTTCTGGGGAGTCCTTCGGGGGGTGGTCGAGGCTGCCGTGGCTTTGCCCCACCCAGGCTTCCTCCAGGGCTGGAAAGGGGGCTCGGAAGCCCCGATTGCTTCGGAAGCGGCAAAGCGCTTTTTCTCCTCGGAGAGAATTGGTCGAGGGCGGGAGGCACAAAAGCGAGCGGAGCGATGGGGAGTCCAGACAGCCGAGAGCGCATCCCCCGGAGAGAAATCGGGGAGGGGGCCGAGGAGCGGCCGGACCGTCCCGAAGCCTTGCCTGTCCCCGACCGTCGGGGCTCCCGCGGCTGACGGAGCCGTCTGGGTCGGTTTGCAAAGCGCGCCGGGCCGGGAGAGGACACCAAACCTCTGGTTACACCCCCCACCCCACCCCTGGGGAACGTGGGGCTTCTGGCCCCGTTTCGTTTGCTGGGCTCGAGTGGAGCCAGGACGCCTCGTCCGCTTTCCCCACCCGCCTCCAGCCTTTGGGACGAGGTCTGGCCTTGAAATCGCGGGGCTGAACGAAGAGGCAGGGCGTCTCCTGCTTGAACAAGGGGTCGGACTAGAAGACCTCCAGGGTCCCTTCCATCTCTGGCTTCGTTCTTCCCACCGAGAGAGGCGAAGGGCCAGGAGGCTTTTCAAACTGGCGGCCCGGGCTACGATTTTGCCCGACGTGAATGCTAGGAAGCCGGGCGGGATGGAGGGCGTTTGAGCCGAAGCTCGCGGGTTTTCCTGCCCTTCCTGGGCCAATAAAATAACGAAGCAGCCCCTCGAGTTTGCAAGGCTGGCAGGTGGGGGTGGGGGGCAGGCGCCCTTCCCTAGTGGTACCCTCGGGCCCATGCGGCTGGGCGCTCAGCTGCGGCTGGCCTGCGGAGAAGAGGCGCCGTCTCTCGGCCGCTTCCGCGTGGGTGGGTGGGGGGTCTCCTGGGAAGCGCGTGTCCGCGACTGTCGTCCCCACCCCACCCCTCCGCCGTTGCGCGTCTTTCCGTTCGCCCCCGCGAGTCGCTCCGTCCCGGGGAGAGGCAGGAGGCGCGCTTCGTCGGGCGGCCCCACCCTGCCCTCCGCCAGGCTGGGCAGCCCGGGCCCGTTTGCACCCCCCCCCGGCGCCCCCTCCGGGGATCAGCAGGGCAGAGGGAGCCCCCTCCCGGGACAGGGTCTGGCCGCCGAGGGCGCCGTTCGCCAGCCCGCCGCTGACTTTGCGAAACGAGTGGCGGTTTAGCCGGCCTTGCGCTTGTCTGCCTGCCTGCCTGCCGGCCGGCCGGCGGGAGCTCAACCGCAGCCCGGGAGAAGCCTCGTCGGAGCTGCAGCGAGAAGCCAGTCTCGCCTGCCGACGCCGCTTCAAATGAGGGGATGGGGGTGGGGGGGCTTGGGCTTGCCCCGCCCGGCCTACCTCGCAGGGGGCTCGTTGGGCGGTGGGAAGGAGCGCAACGTGCCGTTCCTGGCGGAAAAGGGAGGTAGACAATTGAGGAGGAGGCTGGTTTCCCTCTCCGCCCCCCTAAAAAAAAAAACACAGGCAGGGCTCGCAAAGCTTTCCCCCCCCGCCCCCCCAAAGTCTGGGGGGCGACGCCGTTCGCCCCGCGTCCTGGGGAATCTCCGACTCCCGTCCGCACAGAGGGCGACGCTGGCGGCCGGGCTCCGTCTCTTCCCTTTGGGGCGTCGGGAGGGAGAAAGAGGGACCCGCCACCGGGAGCCGGGCAGGAGCTTCGGAGAAGGGAGCGGACCACCGGCCCCATCGCCGGCAGTTTTCCTCCTGGTCTCTACTGGTTTCCTTGCACGGGACCTGGCTGGAGATACGGGGAAACTTGCGGGAAACCCAGAGCAAGGACCCTTGATTCTGCGTAACTGCCGGCGTAAACGGATTCCCGTTTTCCTGTTCTGCCTTGGACACAAAACAAAAGACCTCACCTGCCAAGGTGCTTTACTTACCTAACTGGCCAAAGACAGAGATCGGACCGCTGTCCCAAAGGTGTTATTTTCAGGAGGCAGCTGGACATTCTTGTTTTTCCCTTTTGAAGACCTTTCGCTTCTCATCCAAGAAGCTTCTTCAGCTCTGACAGGACAGTGGGGAACGAAACTAGACTATCCTGTCAGAGCTGAAGAAGCTTCTTGGATGAGAAGCGAAAGGTCTTCAAAAGGGAAAAACTGAAAGTCCAGCTGCCTCCTGAAAAAAACACCTTCGGGACCACCGTAACGTGGAGGACGGAGAATCTCCAGACGATCTCTGGTGCATCATGCCCTGCGGCAAAGTAGAATTTCAGCATCAGAGCTTTTGAGAAAGGGGCAGATTCTGCCCTGATTTTTGGTCTAATCCTGCTGATGGTGGCACGAAACAGGAATACGAACTGGCATTGACAAATACATACCATCACAAACTCCAAAATGTAGAACCATCCAATATGTAGGACGTCCGCTGTTTTCCACCTATAATGCAAAGGGCAGGATTCTGTCCTCCAGTAAGTAGCTGTTTTTTGTTTTTTTTTACTTAGCGTGAAGTGTGAAGCTATTTGTTCTCATTTGTTATGTTGTACAAACCCTTGAGATTTCATCAATAAAGACTCTTTTAAATAAACCAAAACCGGATCCTGCAATGGTTCTTAACCATGGTTTGAGAAGCGAATCGTGGCCTGCCCCATAGGTGCTACTAAGTCATGGGTCACATTAGGCCCCAAAGTAACCGCACTGATTTAACACAACTGTGAGCATTCCCCACTTCCGGGCGCAAGGCAAATGGACCAACGGGTCACGTGTGTGTGTGTGTGTGTGTGTGTGCCAGAACATCGCTAGAAGATTCTGAGTTTTCTTAGTGGCAAGTCCATGCCAACATCTGCCTGGTGAGTGAGCCACATCGTATGCAGCTCCTTTTAATGTGATGCTGCGGTTGAAAATGTGCTCCAGCCCGAGGAACACCAGAGGTCTCCCTTCTGCAACCAGCAGCGGAGAAAATGAAAACCCTTAAAACGTATTTTAAAACCACCATCCTGAACTGGGGCAGAAGAAAACAATGGAAACTTCTTTCATGGAAGGACTAAAACGGCCCCTAAAATTTTTAGGCACTTGTAAAATTCTTTAGGGGCATCAGAATTAGTGTGTATCTTGTAACCTCCAATGTAAAAAAAACCCCTGAAACGCAGCCAGGGATGAACTGGGAAGTCATGGGAAGAGGGGACTCATTGGAAAAGATGTTGGGAAAGATTCAGGACTAAAAGGAGAAGGGGGAGATGGCAGGGATGCAATGATCATGAATTTGGGCAAACTGGGAGATATTGGAGGAGGGGGAGGGGGTTGGCAGGCTGTTGGGTCTATGGGGTTCTGAAGAGGCAGGCACAATTTAGGAACTAACAACAACTGTGATGAACACAAGGGCTCCTCAGTCTGCAAGGGGGGTTTCTCAGAGGAACTGCCCGATGCCAACTGACTTTGCCAGAAGCCAACAGCGTTTTCCCAACGGGGCCAATCATTGCTCATGCCCATCCCCCCTTTCCCCAAAGAGGCCAGAATTCTTCCCTGAAATCATTGCTCTGGGATGAGGATGGGGAAACTGAGGCAGGGAGGGAGGACAGCCGGTGATTGCTTTAAGTATACGGTGGAGCCAGCTCACAGCTGCCTTGGCAGCCTCTTTGGAGAAACAGCGTTTTATTTTTAAAGTACATCCGCTTTGTGCCCCTCGAAGGGTCCGCGTTACAATCATGTTTTGTTTTGTTTTTTTGTCACTGGCACAAAATACAAAGACGATGGGTCGGGTGCGAAAGGCAACGCAACTCAGCTGATGGAGGAAAGAATGAGCGAGACACAAGCTTGTGTGGGGAACTTGTGTGTTGCCGGCTGGATGGAAGCAGCTTTTCCTTGGATCAGCCTTTAGCCAAAGGACGCCAGCGGACAACGGTTGCCCTCGAATCCTGAACTTTCCTTGACGTGGTTGCATTGCATTTCTTCCCCACCCCCCACCCAGACCCAAATAGACCCTTTCCTTTTAACTCTGCAAGAGGCAACTAAAGCAACTCCGAGCAGCAGCTTCGCAGAAGAGCATCGATGCTCCTTTCAAGGGTACCAAGACCATCCGAAGGTGCTCCTTGTGCCTCTTTCCCAGCACCCACCACCCCTGGAACAGCAACCCCGTTATCACGCGCCCCCCCCTCCCCAAAAAATCTCAATTACATTCCATTACAATATAAAACTTAAATTACTTGTTTTTTTAAAAAATATTACTAATATAGATTTCCCATCTTAAAATGCCTTATACATTTACAGTACTTATAACTATTTCATGAGTGGATGAGGTTTTTTTTAAAAGGGGTGGGTGGGTGGGAGAGAAAGAGAGGGGGGGACAGAGGGGGAGAGAGAGAAATGTGTTTTTTTTAAGGGAGGGGCAAGGAGGAGGAGATGCATAGTGCAAATTTAAAAAAAGGGAAAGCAGAAACTTCCTTTGACTTCCCAAATGTAAATGAAGAAGATGAGTTTCCCATGCTGTACATGCAATAAGTTATAGCAAGCGATTATGACGAAAGAGAGAGAGACAGAAAGAGAGAAAGAGAAAGAGAGAGAGAGAGAGAGAGAGAGAGAGAGAGAGAGAGTGCGGGAATCACTCCACAATCCGAAGCTGGTCTTTGGGCCGAAAGGCAGAGAGGGAGGGGCTGGAGCTCAGCTTCACGGTCTCGCTGCTGTTGGGTGAAACCGGGATCACGCCTTGTATTTCTGTTTCCCGGTCTCGCTGATCACGCAGATGTGCTGAAAGACAAGGAGGAAAAGGCTTCCGAATTCATAATAGCAATAGCGCTTAAGACTTATATACCGCTTCATGGTGATTTACAGCTAGCCAGCCTGCCTGCCTGCCTTCCTTTCCTTCGCATTTAGCAATAGCACTTAAGACATATATATATAGATATATATACTCATATATACATTTTCTTCTCTTATCATAGGCCCTTTATGTGTATTTCTCCTCAGCCGCGTATTTTCCTACGTAAACCAAGGTTTTCAAAATGCTGCTCAGTGAAATCACAATTCACTAGTTCTAGTCTTTTCCAGACAGCAAATAAGCAGTTTGCTGCCCTTTGGGAGACTAATACAGATCTATTTCGGACTAATTAGTCCTCATCAGTTAGCCACACCCTCATCACACGTTTCCTCCCCACAGAGGTCAAGTAGTTTGAAAATCTTGGTTTACATAGGAAAATACCCGGCTGAGGAGAAATACACATAAAGGGCCTACGATAAGAGAAGAAAACAAATACTTGACCTCTACGGGGAGGAAACATGTGATGAGGGTGTGGCTAACTGATTCTGACAGTTTCTTTGCCAAGAAGCCACCTCAGGTTTTACACACTTTTGTCAGTTTGCTCGGTACCAAACTGTGTGGGAAGCCAGAATCAAAATGGGAATCAGACTGGAGAAGGCGGCTTGAGGGGCCCTGGGAGTCGCCATAAGACTCTGGACGTTCCTACTCTTGTTGCTCAAGAAAAAATTCTGTTCCTGCTGTTTCCATTCATTCATTCATTCATTCATTCATTCATTCATTCATTCATTCATTGACTTTATATTGCCACCTATTCGCCAATGGCGACTCAAGGCAGCTTTTGACCCTTTCCCATTGCTAAAAGAAGCAGAATAAAGGCAAGGGTGAAGATGTTGTTGTTTTTAAAAACAAGATAATCTGTGTTAATCACTTACATTCAAATCTCTGAAGTATTCGTTATAATCTAGAGCGTATCCAACCACAAACTTGTCCGGCACTTCAAAACCAACAACTGAAAAGAACCACAATAAAGCAGAAGGTTAAACTTAGGCAGGGGTTTGGGACAACCGTGTTAATAATATTAATTATGATGCCACTTTGCATTAACTGGAGCGGTTGGTTAAGAGTGCTGTGACAAAATGTGACGGGCCTTTTTAAAATAAAACCAGGTTTGTTATCACAAGGCAGTAAGTTAAACAGGTGCCTTTTCCTAATGTCACTCGAAGTTCCATCGTGAGTAAAAGAAGAGAGGAGGAAGTTGGAAGGGCTCCCCAAAATTAGAACGAATGCACACACTGTGACCCCAATGTTGTTAAGCTGAAATCCTAAACGTAGTCATTACGGAGTAAATCTCTTTTAAACAAAAGGGGACTGAGCACCGGCTTACACTGTTAGCTGCTTTGGCTTAGTTTTGCCTACACACCCACAGTCAACAGCTGGGTTTTTCAAGCCACAGAAAAGCTGTTCTTGTAAGCCAGCTCCGTCTTCTGCCACTGGAGCTTCTCCTCCTTAACCAGTTTCAGCCCATTGATTTCTGGTTTCAACGACCTTCCCTTCATACCTCTAAGATTACACTCCAGATTACACTATGCTTACACAAGAGTCACTTACAATCGGGCCGGTATCCTACACTTCGGGGTGTCCTTTTCACCAACAAGCTGTCAAAAAAAAAAAAAAAGCCAAACCAAAGTCAGTTCATATAGGAGCAAAAATTATAGGCAATCGGTACATTCCACACCGGGTTTGTTCTAGCTTGGCAACCTGTGGGCTTCAGCTGCCAGAATTCCCCAGCCACCTGGGAGTTGGAAGTCCACAAGTCTTAACATTGCCAAGGTTGGACACCTCTGAGCTCTGGTTTACGTTCTGTCCTTCCTCACAGGTGCAGCCAAAAAAAATAAACAGCCAATCGAGAGAGCCAGCAGGACCCTTCTGATGAAATTCTCCCGAGTTAGGTATAGACCAAGGCTGTTTCTTGGCTCGGGTCTCAGCAGAGGAGCCGAGGAAGAACCGAAGGGCCACTGCTGCCTCCTTAAGCAGGGCAGGACGAGAAAGGGGAAACACTGCCCCACTTCCTCCCCACATCAGCCTCTGCCTTGCTGAGAATTTGAGTGGCAGGAAAGAGCGAGTGGCCCACACACGCTGCCTGATGCATTTATTTTCCACAAGCCTCACAAGTAAGAGTGCAGGTGTGTGTGTGTGTGTGTGTGTGTGTTTGTGTTTGTGTGTGCGGGTTATCTACTGTACAGAAGCCGGTTCAGTGGCTGCTTGTCTGCTATCAGTGCTGCATGCTTGGTCAAGGTCAGAGCCCGACCAACACTCGGAGCAGCTTGTTATGGGCAACCGAAACCGGCAGTGAGCAGCTTTATCAACCGTGCCGTTTCTGGTTCGGATCAGCAGTTACACTTTTCTTGTGAAGTGGCAGTGGATCAAACGTCCTTAAGACAGCTGAGCAGCTCTGCTGGCTCAAAGGAGAAAGCCGTAAGAAGCCAAAAAATCAGTCTCTGGTAAAACAGCCAGATTGGGAAATGAACTTTCTTCGTCCATGGCCTCCTGCCCTGACCCATGCAGGTCCTGAACAAGGCTTCCTCCAATCTCCCTTCATGTGGGGAGGGGTGGGGGGAGAAGCAGGTGGCTTTCTTAGGGACACCTTAGCCCCACTCATGATTCTGGGCCGTTCTCAAAATCAGAGGCCCCGAGAAATGGTCAGAGAAGTTAGGGCTTCTCTGACTGTAGAGAAGGAAGCCCTTCCAAAATGACTTCGGTTCATCAGCCCGCAAGACAAGCTACTTTACAAGTCCATGACAGCAAAGCCAACAAAGATGAAGAAAGGGTCCGGATACAGTACATAAAACAAGTTATAATTTACCGCAGCTTCTGGAGAGAGAATGTGGAGGCCGCAGTGATCGTAAATGTAAAACATAGGTCTTTTGAGAGCTGCGTGTGAAGGACACTGATAGTCCCTCCCCCAACCCCAAATCTTCTCTTTAATTAAACTGTGGCTCACTAAAGCACGCCAACGAGTCCACGTTGCTAGGCTCAGATTTTTCGTAAGGAAAACGACCGAGGTCCACTGAGCAATGGGTATGTGAGCTGAAAGTGGAATCACTTCTGGCTGCTTGTTCTGTCCTGCCTGGGGAGGGCTTTCAAAAGTGACACGGGGGCAGTGAAGGGTAACCTCTGACCTTGCTACTTTGACCATCTTTGGGTTGTACTGCTGGAGGAGGGACAGGAGGGTCTGCATGGTCTTCCCAGTGTCGATGATATCCTGAGGAGTAAGCAAACAAAGGGATCGATCACACACCAACTTATTTTGGAGGAAAATTACAGCAAAGTATATCTTGTTTGGATGAGTGATTGGCCAGATTAAAATTAATGCTGCATTGGGGCACATTATGCCTAGAAAAAATAAATAAATAAAAGTGAATATATCTATAAAGGAGATAGCTTTGGGGCTTAACATACATTACTACAACTTGATCCAGTGTCTTTATAGGGCCTTTTACAAAGGCAGGTAAACTTTGATGTGAATTATTAATGGTCACAAAGAGAGTTAATAAATCTTGTTTCAACAAAAACGTTTCGACAGTTTTCATCATCCCCGTTTAGGAAGGACGGGAAGAAATGGATAGGTTCGAAGTTGCCTTGAAATTTGCAACTGGAAGAAGATTCTAATCCACACATCTTACTCAGACCTTGCGAGGAATCAGCAAAACGCAAGGCAACGGCCCCCAAAACATACATAAAGGTAGTAACTGCCATCTGAAGTACTTACTTCTACAATCAAGACATTCTGAAAAAGAAAAGACAGAACGTTATCAGTAATTTTAGTTCAGTTTTTAACCCCCAACTTCTATTTTTTTCATTTTTTAAAATTAATTAACTACCACATAATTATACATAAATGCCCCATCTATAAAGCAGGCCAGGAGAAAATGGGTACAAATTGTATCTGGTGTTTAAAATATACGAATTATTAAGAGCTCATTAGTACATTCTTTGGGCCTTTAAACAATTAAGTTCAAACATAAATGTCTAACCACAAAGCAGCAAGAATTAAAACTAGGAAAGACACTGAATTAAACGCCTTAGGAAGCACATCTTAAATGCTTTTAGTTAGCTAACATTTTTGAAGTGGTTTAAGTACTTTCGCATGGCCAAAACTAACAAATGTTTTTCAACATACATCTAGACTAAAGAACGACTTTTTAAATCAGGAACTCTAGGGCTGAACTTAGAAAAGGGATCACTTGAGACATCTGGAAGCCTTTGGGAAAATCCGCTCGAAGTAATGTCTGTTTCTTTTTGATCCCAGGATCTGGTGTTCCAAGCAACAGTGATGTGGGCCAACATAGGTACCCCTTGTTTTAAAGAGTGCATGGATTTAATTTTTCTGGCTTCATCTCCTCCCTTTCCTAAAGGGACAAGAGCACCATTTCTTGTTTATAAAAATGTCTACCCTGCTCCCCTTGCCAAAGACACCTGGAAATCATCGCAATTGCAGAATTTGCTGGGGCAGAAGGAACCGGCATGATTAGCTAGCAAAGCTTTCTGACAAAGCCAGGACTGCAAGGGAAACTTGGCAATGTTTTCCACGGAGGGTTTTTTTTTTTTTTTTTAATGAAATGCTTTCACACCTTTAATTGCATTTCATTTTAAGTACATTTTGCTGATGAACGGGGCACGTGGCATTGTATATCCCTGTTTTCCAGAAGCCTCCGTATCCATGTCTTCTTTTGGGACGTACCTTCCCAGTCAAGGTTGATAAGTCATCCCCGCCAATTACTTTTATATCGCCAGTTGACTGGTCATTCTACGTTTCGTCAGGAAAAAGAAAAGAAGAAGAAGAAGTAAAGCTGTTATTAATACTACAGAAAACTCCAGGAAAGGGGAAAAACAAAAAATTGAAACTTTTTAAACATTAGCACGCCTGTGGCTTCATCCCCCTCATAACAAAAGGAAAAGTCGTGTTTTCTTAGCTGTGATGCATCCTGCAAACAAGATTTTTTTTCCTTGCCTAATCCTGCAGGGCCTAATACATACATACATACATACATACATACATACATACATACATACATATGTATGTATGTATTACACACCCCAGCCAATCAGAGCACAGCCAACCCCACATCCAATCAGAGCACAGCCAAGCCCCCAACCAATGAGAACGCACTTCCACCCAATCAGAACACAGCCAAACTCCCACCCAATCAGTTCACACCCCCACTGGAAGTTAAAAGGAAGAAACAGCTGTGATCAAACGTTGCTCCTAGAAGCACGAAGCCAAAAACACCAGCCTGAAGATGACGAATGAGACTTCGTCGAAACGTCGCCAAGACACTTCCAATTTTACGCGGGAGAAAACCCGAATAACCAAAGACCTACATACAAACACCCGCGAAAACCTCAGAAAACACAAACACACACACACACATATATATTCCAAAGTAAGTCCCACTCATTTAGATGGGGTTTATGCCCAGGAAAATGTGCATGTACTGCTCAGAGAGGCAGTTTTTCTCCTTCTGTTGAGATTGTTTCTCACCCTCAACCTGAGATGTTCCCCCTGGTTTGCTTTGAAGCAAAAAAAAACAAAAAAAAACCCTATCACTGTTCATCCATGATTGGACTGCATGTTCACAGTAAGATTTGAAGGAGGCTGAAGGAGCATAAATTGTTTTCAAATTACTGCCTGTTTTTTTTCTCCGGTTTCGGGGGAGGGGGGAGGTTTGCCACCAAGGAAAGACCTGAGTATTCTAGGTGTAATATTGTAGCCCTCCGAATTCTAACTAACCATAAGCCATGAATACAAAAAGCCTGACTTACACAGTAGCTCTTCAGGCGGATGAAGTCGACGGTCATCGGAATGGACTTGTCGCTGTTCCGATTCAGGGCTTTAATATAATCCAGTAAATCGGCAAAAAATTTGTAGCCTCCCTTCAGCACACAGAGAGCAACGATGTGGTGGCCCCCCATGGCTTTCATAATTTCCCGGGCTAACCTCTCCGTCCTAAGGAAGAAAATAAAGAAATGAGATTTACTACAAGTACTCCTCCGCTTAGGACCACAATCGAACCCAAAATTTCTGTTGCTAGCCGAAACAGTCGTGACCAAGTGAGCTTTGCCCCGTTTTACAACTTTTCTTGTATCGCTGCAGTTCAGTTAGCAACACGGTTGTTAAGTGAATCTGGCTTCCCCATTGACTTTGCCTGTCGGAAGGTCGCTGCGACCGTCATAAATGTTGAGTCAGTTGCCAAGTGCCTGGATTTTGATGACGTGACCCTGGGGATGTTGCAACGGTCGTAAGTGTGAAAAACAGTTGTCACTTTTTTTCAGTGTTGCTGTAACTTCGAACGGTCACTAAATGAACTGTTTTAAGTCCACGACTACCTGTACAGAGACACTGGGTGTTTGCACGCAGGTTATCCAGTGGCTTCAACCCAGTTTTAGGAAGCAAAAGGTGGGAAGACAAAACAAACACGGCTTCCATCTGACAGTGAATATGACTATTGAGCAACGGTTGGTCGATGACATGCCTGCTTTTTCTCACTTGCCAAGGTTAATCTAATCGTGGTGCTGCCAAACAGCCTTAGTTCTTCTAGGGAGCTCGTGCCAAAGCAAATCTCAGCCTCCAGATAGCGACAGCACGACCTACAAAAGGGGATCGGGCAGCGAGATTTTTGGAAAGGAAACAGAAAGGAATTCACAAAGCAAAATAGTGAAACGTTTTCAGACTGGAGAGCCATGCTTCTTTCAAGGTATGGCAGAAAAGGAGACCACTATACAGTAAAGCCTGCTATGCATGTTACATTATACACCTGCTTCATTTACATCCTGCATCAGGGGTGCATGGGTGTCCAACCTTGGTCACTTGTGGACTTCAACTCCCAGAATTCCCCACCCAGAGAAACGTGGCTGGCTGGGGAACTCTGGGAGTTGAAGTCTACAAGTCTTAATAAAGTGGTCCAAGATTGGACACCTTCGATTTACATTTTTATATATTTTTATTTTTATATCTATCTATCTATCCATCCATCCATCCATCCACCCTGTTTCCCCTAAAATAAGACCTCCTCTAATAATAAGCCCAATCGGGCTTTTGAGCGCATGCACTAAAATAAGCCTTTCCCGAAAATATTTAAATGCACGTGCAGTCGGTTCCAGCCATTTCCTCTGTTTAGGGTTAGGGAGACAGAGCTGGAAATCAGGTAAGGTGGCAAGAGGAGCCCCGTCTTGTCCCACACACCCCAAAATAATAAGACATCCCCGAAAATAAGGCCAAGCGCTTATTTCGGGGTTCAAAAAATATAAGACAGGGTCGAACATTATTTATGAGAAGAAAAAATGACTAGGCAGCTGCAGAAGCTGTATTATATTTGTCCAGATTGCTAGGCATCTGCTTAGTAGGGATAAAACCAAAGATTAATACTGGGGGCATTTTTAAATGTGTCAATGCCTGCCATTTGTGGCGGAGAGGCAGATGAACCTTTTTTCATTATCATGGATCTGGTAAAAATGTCGCAAGTTGCACCTAGCAAGTCCCATCTTCGTTCCAGGGGACGGCGTCCTTCGCGGGTGGGGTCTCCTGCTAATGTTCCTTGACTAAATTTATACACACCGTCAGTTGCCGAGGAGTGAGCTTGGCAACTCTTCATCGGGGAAGTTCCTTAAAGCAAGCTTGCACAGGTAGTGCTTGACTTACAATGGTTCATTTAGTGACCATTCAAAGTCAGAATGGCACTGTTGAAAAAGTGACTTATGACTGTTTTTCACACTTACGACCATCCCTGTGGTCACGTAATCAAAATTTGGACACTTAGCAACCGACTGGTATTTATGACAGTCACGGTGTCCCGTGGGGGAGGGGGGGTTTCACGCTTAACAACCGTGTCCCTAACTTAATGACTACAAGTGATTCAGTTGGCAAGAAAGGTCGTAAAATGGGGCAAAACTCACTTAACAGCTGCCTCCGCTTAGCACATTTTGGCCCCCGTTGTGGTTGCAAGGCGAGGAGCACCTGCCGTCGCTTGCAGGGAAGGAAACCTGCATTTCAGAACAGACTCTGGGAGTCAGACCAACCTGTCCATGATGAGTCCGTGAGGAATGTAGACTTTTTCCAAATCATCCGCGTAATGTTTGGGGATGCAGAACAAATCCAGGTCGTAACCTTGTTCGTCATCTCCAATCTAAAAGGGGGGGAAAAAAACAGGGCGAAGTCAGAGGTAACGCATGATGCATCTCTGCGGAGACCGGCCACATCAGAAGCCAGGTTTGCTCTGGGTTTTCTCCCCATCCTGAAGCCATGAACCGGTGGGGGTTTCATGCTTGGCATTTGGGGGGGGAAGTGGGGGGGGTCAAAAACCTCAGGGTTGTGGCATTTGCCCCTTTTCAGAACCATTTGATTCTTCGAGACAAAAGGGCAGCAGATTTGCTGCTGCAGGCAGTCTGGACAATTCAGGTTTTCATGTGAAGGACAAGTATCATTTAAGAAAAAAAATAAAATTCCTGCCGGGAAAGAATGCAGGGTATGGTCAGCAGAGCAAGCAGGGGAGGGAGCTAGGCAGGCCACAATTTCTGATTTCATAAAAAGAAGTGTTTACACAAAAGCAGCTTGGCGCACATGGCATTAAAATGCTGGCTGGCAAGGTTCCCTGGACTAAAGTTTAATAACTGTTTTTGACGGTTGCCATTCTCACTGCCGCACCTTTCCTCTATGAAACAATTCAAAAAAGAGCATCCAGATACTTTTTGGTCCTGCCACCCAAATAAGCTTCAAAAGAAGCCATTTCTATTCGTGGCACTGCCAGCCTGTTTTACTTAACCTGGAACTCAACATCCCGCAGAGAAAATGCACCGGGTGGACAATGCTCATCATTACAATATGTGAGGAGCTGCGTTTTCGTTAAAAGCGTATTTCAGAGTGCAGATAACATCTGGTCAACAGAGTCCCCAAGAAAAGCTGCATCCCACAAGAGACAGCATGTTTTACTGAAAGAGATAAGTGAGTTTGCAAAAAGATTCCATCTTTGGGACCCCGGTGCGGTGAATATCTTTTGCAAAGAATCCAGATGCCTGCAAGGGAGGGCTTATTCAGAATCGTTTAGCAAATTTTAATCATTTTTAACATATTCCAAGCCATGATTTAGGGCATCAAAGAGTACCGGACAAAATGCAATTCTAACATATTAAAACCAAAGACGTTTTGGATGCCATTAAAAAAAAAAAACAACTTTCCCTTTTAAACCGAAGCAAGCAGCGTTCCGCTATCATTACAGCTATATTTCAATTTATGCAAAGCATGTGCTGGAAGGGCTCCTCGTACCAATAGTGAGGCTTACACACCTGATTTTCTTATCCAATATTGTGCGTGCCAATATGTTACTTGAGCACCAATGTATAACTACAGAAGGAACTCTGTAGTTATATCTCTTGAGAAATGCTCTGCAGATCCAAACAGCCAGCTAGGCTGCAGAAGCAAATCAGTACTTTTAGCACTCTCTGGAAGAAAGAAATGAAGCTAGAGCGCTTCCTCCAATTCTTTTTAACGAATGCAAGGCAGGCTCAGGCAGATTGGCTAAAAAGCAGGTCTGAACCCAGAAGGGTTTTCGAGGTCAGTTCAAAAAGCAATACAGAAACTGCCATGATTAATAAGCAGTAAAATTCCGATTACTCTGGGGTTTTATGAACTCTTACATCACATCTTCTTTCGTTATTAGCATCTTTCAAGGTCAGTTTGCTGTCTTTTCCACAGCCATGTGCTCTTATCTTCAGTTAAAAAGAAGGAGCATGAAAACAATAAACTAATAAAAACCAGCTTGGAAGTTTACAGAGTTCTACTTGAGGTGCTTTGATAGGAGGGAGATTTTCCCCCCAGGTTCAAAGCTCTAGGTTACTTCTACAGATTTAACCGAACGGAAGGGAAAATCAGATCTATCACACAGGAACATCATCTTCTCTGTCCTTTCATCTTAAAAGCAGAGAGTCTGGTTACGATAAATGTCTTCTCCTAACCATTAACCTATCTGCTAGGGCACAAAAAAACGCAGGATAAGTTTATAAAACCTCCACTTTATAGCTGATATTTTTCTCTCCTTATCAAATCTGCTGGAGCAGCACCCATACTTCCTGTAAGCACCCCTAAAACCCCCACGTTATACCTGTTATCTTTCTCTCTGTATCAAATCTGTTTGAGCAGCGCCAATACTTCCTGTATCCCCCCCACCCAACCAGTTAAAAAAAAAGAATAAAATCAAAACAGAACTTCAGGCAGGAAAAAGAGCCCACTGACAGATGAGGAAGCACCAACGTCCAAGATCTTAACTTGATCTCCTGTATTTTCAAAAAAATGGCTGCATTATTTGGGTGGGGGGGGGTTGCAATGACCAAGGGATCCTCCTTTCTGCCTTTTCTTAATTCCTGAAGATTTGGGGCCTTCAGCTTCCCCACACAAGCCCCCCCCCAGATCTTTTTCGGTGAAGGATGGGAGGGGTTTCAACCAAAGCAGACCCAGATGTATTTTCCAAGCCTGGAGCAGGAAGTTACTCATCTCAGCATGTGCCTGATGAAAGGTGGCAGCGGCTGCCCGTGCCTGTTTGCCAGGTAGGATCTGATCCACCCAGGGACACGCGCCAGCCAGCAGCTTTCCAGGACTGTGGGGAAGCGGATCTTGGGAATCTTTTCTGCAGGGATCTCTCTTTATTTTTTTAAAGCATCGCCCCTGTTCAGGCTGCCAGGCATGCAAAAAACTTTTTGGATTTCCTCTCCCGGTTTGCTCTCAAGGACAGGCGGGGGGGGGGGGGGGACGACCCTGCTGGGCATCTGGGTGCCACCCACCCACTCACACCCACACAACCCTCGTCTGGCTGAGGCCTTTAAAAGGACACACCAACACACACCGACAGAGGGTGGTGGCCATTATAAACACTCCTTCTGGCTCCCCTCCCTCCTAACAGCCTCCCTTTCCCAATGGCTCTCTCCAGGGGTGGGGCAGAGCCCCCCTCGCCCCCCTCCGCTGCTGCTTGTTCAGGGTGCAGCTGGCAAAGCTGGAGGGGGGGCATAAGACCCCCCTCCTGGCTGTTTGTGGGGGGGGGGAGGTCTGATAAGGTCCCCTCTGTGCCCTGTCGGCCCTGAAGACCCCCCCTCCGCCCCTTGGCGGGTCTCCTTCTCCTCTCCCCCCCCCTTTTTCCCCAAAGGGATGCCCTCCCCCCATTTGGAAGGGTCTGCCAGGGCACAGAGGGCACCTTGCAGGTCTTGGCGCCCCCCTCCCCCAAAGATGGCCTTCTCCTGCTTTCTGCTGACCATCCCTTCCCCCCACCCAGGCATAGAGGGCAGGGTCCACTCTTTTGGGGGGAGGGGGGGGCAAAAGCAGCAATGAATGGAGGCCCCCAGGGTGGATTTGATCTGGAGGCGCTCTGGACATGCCCAGAGACCCCTTCGCCGGGGGCTTTGGCCTCCTCCCTCCCAGCAGAAAGGCCTCCCCAGGGGTAGAAGGTGGGTGGGTCTCTTTCTCTTCCCCTCCCCCTCCCCCACCAACCGAAAGACCCCCCACCACCACTTCCGCGCGCCCTGTTGCCAGGCAACGCAGCCAGGGCACCCCCCCTCCCTCCCCCCTTCCCTTTCCCCCCCCCTCACAGGCCCTCACCACGATGCAACTGCCTCCGCCGCCACCCCCGCTGTTTCCGGCCATGGCGGCGGGAAAGCGGCCGCCGCGCTGCTCCTGCCGCCCCGCAAAGCAGCCGCCGATGCTGCCGCCGGTGAGGAAGGGATGGGGGCGGGGGGGGGAAGGCGCAGGCCACGCCCCGCCTGGCCACGCCCCGCCGAACGTGCGCGAGCGGCAGGCAGGCAGGCAGGCAGGGGTCGAGCATGGAGTGGGGGGAGGGAAAGAGGGGGAGTGGGGGCGGGGCTCGCGGGCGCCCCTGGCGGCCAACCCGGTCGGTTGGTCGCGAGGAAGGAGCGGCGGTTCCCGCCAAAGCTGGTTTTACCTCAGATATAATAAATAAGCCGCTCGGAGTCACCTTAGTGGCGGCGGGGGAAGAATGGGCGGCATAAAAACAAACAAACAAACAAACAAACAAACAATAAATACAAATAAAATGAGAAATGAAACGAAACGAAGACACTGGCTGTATAGGTAGATAGATAGATACCAACCATACGCTAAATAAATAAATAGATAGATGATATAAATACATGATGGAGAGATGATAGAGAGGTAGATATTAGATATAGATAGATAGATAGATAGATAGATAGATATAATAAATAAGAGTATTATAAATTATAAAATGAGAAATGAAATGAAACGAAGACACTGGCTGCATAGATAGATGATATAAATACATGATGGAGAGATGATAGGTAGATATTAGAGATAGATAGATAGATAGATAGATAGATAGATAGATAGATAGATAGATAGATAGATAGAATAAAAAATATTATAAATTAAAATGAGAAATGAAATGAAACGTAGACACTAGCTGTCTAGATATCTCTGTCCGACCCTTTCCCTAAACCTGGTTCACCTCAGCTAATCGGGGTTTGGGGAAGGCGCCTCACCCCCCCCCCAATGTGGCTTAACAACAAGGATAATAATAATAATAATAATAATGAAATAGAGGCAGCCCCCCTCTTCCCTTTCCATATAGGCCGGTTTGTTTAATTCTGGTTTTGAAGGTTTGACATGCTTTCATGGTTTTTTTTAAAAGGAGGATTGGGGAAATGTGTCCTTAAAGGATAGGGATTTATTTATTTTTAGTTGTATTCCTTACAAATAACTCAAGGCAGTGGATATCTAAACACACCTTTCTTTTCCTATTTTCCTCACAACCCTGTGAGATGGGCTGAGAGAGGGAGGACCTGCCTAAGGTCACTCACCTAGCTTTCATGGCTAAGGCAGGACTTGAACTCACAGCCTCCTCCTTTCTAGCTTGGTGCCTTAACCACCAGGCCAACCTGGCTAGCTTTGCTGTCTCTTCCCCTTTGCCAGACTCAGGGTCCCGACTAGGAAACCCTGTCGGAAGATCTCAGAGCTGTTAAGAATTAAAAATCCGTTTCATCTGGATATGAGTTTGTTCCAGCAAGGCAGATTTAGTGGTCTAGGTGAATAGAGGGCTATGAGATTGGTAAAACAGAAGAGTGCAAGCACAAAAAAAACCTTCCAAAGATAGAACTTTTTTAAAAAAATCTTTGTGCTGCTCTTCTGAATGGCGGATGCCTGAAAATACAAAGTGCCATTTTTTTTAATTAACAAAAATAAAAGTGCTAAATTGCCCTTCTTTATGAAAGACATTTGACCTGTTGCTTGTACTGCCTTTTGCTTTATTCTTGCAGAAACCGTTGGTACTGGTTGCGCGTGTGTTGCTATGGTTCTCTTGGCGTGTGCTAATTTGCACCCACTTGGGAGAACACCTGTGGGCTGCAAAACCCATTGATGGGGACTCTGTCCTTTGTTCAGCAGGTAAGACAAGAAGGGCTTGTTAAATAGTATCTGTGTTTCTGGTTCCAATGGTTGCATTGGTAATTCAAGGCCGTTAGTCAACAGGAGGATGAATCCTGCCATCCTTCTAAGTTTAAATTTGCAGAGTTTGCTTGCCCTGAGATTGCTAAATCAATGAATGCAGGATCTAAACAGGCAAACTTCTCTCTTTCCAGCCATACGTGGACGAACATGTGTTATATTTACCCAAAGTTCTCTTCCAGATGCCTCCATTAAATAAAGTGGTGATATCCTTCAAATTACTCATTGATACTTACATCATTGTTACCAGATGTGCTGAATCATTACTCTTTTATTTCCTAATATATTTTGGCAACTATCTGTGTTCTAGGTCTTATCTTCATTGTTATCTGCTGTCTCTTTGTTCTCTGCCTATAGCATTTTGCTTTTGGAGAGATCTGAAATGTAATAAACTTGTAGTTATCATCACAACTTCTGTGCATTCTAAAGAATAAAAATGACAGCCTCTATACAGTATGGAATAGAACACATCTCTTATGTTTCAAGAGCGAAGCCCTGTACTAATGTGGCTGATAATTCAAAGAAATAAGGAATTATTTGGAGTACGATGACACATATATTTTCAAAAGATAATTGTTTTTCCAGCAGAATGAAGGCATAAATCAGACTTTGTCTGAAACCCAGAAAAGCCACTTTTCTTTATATGCCCATGACTGCATTTAAAAGAAAACCTGGATTAGTTCTAATCCCGTTTTAAAAAATGCAACAGAAGCAGAACTAAAGAGGTTTTTTAGGCATAGCCAAAAATTACAGGTATTTCTGAAACAAGTGCAACACTATCATTTGGTCAGAAATAAATCTTGCCATATTTAGGATGGCATATTTCAAGTGAGCACAGGATTACAATACATGCCTTACGAGCAGGGACTTCTACCTCACATACTTCCTCTTCATCTCTTGCCTCTGAGATAAATTTTAGACAATAAACTTTTTAGAAGCAGAGATGACTTTTTTATGCTTCTAAGGACCACCCACACACGCACACACTGATAGCACTATACAAATGAATATTTACAATAGTACTGAAGACTTGGTGGGAAATAAGAGCAAAGTCTGTGGAGTGGGTACAGTAGACTGAGTTCCGTTCTTCTGTAAGGCTCTTTTGTCCCAGAAGCAAAAATGCTGCTTCGGACCCCAGTCCAGGAAGGTATAAAAGCAGATTTACATCTGCAGCAGAACTTAATGAGTGTAACATAGCTGAATATACAACATGCTTTCAAAAGATGCCTGTAGAAAATTCCCTGCAAGCAAAAATAAATAAATAAAAATACAACAGGCAATGAACTGAAATCAGGACCTCTCTTCTGAATCCAACAGAATTTACTTACAAAGTTTTACATATGGCTGCAAATGATTGATATTTACATTTTCATTGCATCTTTTCCTCTTTAAGTTATATATGTAGGAGTCTTCCCCCATTGCACCCTCAGCAAAGATTTGCTAGCAGTGAGTTGGAAGGGAAACTGTTCTCTATGGCCTTAAAAGCAGCGTCTACTGAAGACATCATCTGCATGTCCTGCAGATTTGGTCCGTCCCAGACATCAAAAGGCTATTGAGCAGACTCATAAGAGGACTCTTACAATTGTTAGGGTGTGTTGTGCCTTTCATTCTGGCAACTCTGGTCTACTCAGAGGGATACAGAAAGCAGTGTTACACCTTTTATTGTGAAAGGCCATTTTTGTTTTAAAAGCAAAACATCAGTAATGAAATTCTAATATTATTTCAGGCAAATAATGGAATCTGATCATTTCAACACTCTGCCCTTTTATGAACTTTGCTATGTGGAAATCTGCTACAGATTGAAATAAGACTGGAAACAGAATTTCCCATTGAAATGGCATATATAACATCATCCTATTTTTAACTAAGTCCACAAGGCAGAGTTTCCATAGCTGTCAGCTTTTCTCGTGCATATCAGAATTAAACAGGAAGTTACAATGAGTGTTCATGGTCTTCACATCCAGAAGAGAATGTTCTACCGATTAGTCCTTTTAAATAAATGGAATGGAAATGGGAACTCCCACTGTGACTTTTTAAGTATGTGAATCAAAGAACAAAGTATAGATGTCTGAGAAATAAAAATGAAAGGAGAGTAGTGAGATCCTACAAAAGAAATGCAAAATCTTTACACATTTAAAGAACACAACGCAACCCATTCTTTTGAAAAACTGCACAGCCTGCTAAAAAATCTATTTCAGTACAAGTGGCGCCTTTAATTTTGAAAGTTACATTACAAAATAAAAAAAATTGGTCAATGGCATAAGAGCAATTAACAGATTTATTTTTATACACAACTTTCCTACTAAACTGCATTCTTCCAGGAAGTTTTCAAACCCAAATGGATTGAATTCCAACTTGAGAGCCTTAGAGGTTCTATACACAATAGTTGAGTCCCTCAAGACAATGAAATGCATTTTTTTAAAAAAAGCAGACAAAAGGTTAAAAATAAAAAAAATAAACAAGACTTCATAAACAAAGATATCACAGAGGTTTTTTTTTTGCAGTGTCAACTGCTAGTGAATGTTCTTAGCTTTTCATCCAACTATCAGCCTGTTCCAATCTGCTGGTTTAATCTGACATTTGAGAGATAAGAAAAATATCCGAAGAGTGAAATTGGCAGTTTGCTAACAAGTTTAACTTTGTTTTTAGAATAGGTTCAACCAAAACACCTGAAGCAATTACAAGAAATATCAGGATTCTATGACGTCAAAACTGGGATGTTAAGACTTAACATAATTTCAGCCATCCTTGCAGGTTAACAGCACTCACTGATCTGCCAGGAAACTTTGATGAAATATCAAAACATTCTCATATAGTGGTCACAAGACACAAAATAAATACTGACCTCTTACCTCAAAAACAAAAACAAAAAGACAAGACTCAGTGTCTTATTTCATTCTTCTTACAGCATACAGGATCTGTATATATATATATATATATATATTTGGACAAAACTTGTGTTCTACACAGCACAGAGCACTTGAGGTATGATGTCCAATAGAGGGGATTAAATTCCAAAGTGAGCATTAAGCATAACTTGGAAATCTAAGAGAAATGGGCCAGCACTGAACACTCCCAGAAGACAACACCTTGTTTTCAGTTATTCCAGCCACAGGGTTCAAATAAAAGGAGACGGGAAAGAAAGAATGAACCACCTCAGCCTTTTGGTATAACTCTCAAATCTCACAGCTTACAGTCAGCAGCGGCCGGAGCGGTCTCCGGGCAGTACAGTCCTCCCAAAGTAGAGCCACGCCAAAGATTCAAAGCAGGTGTCTGGAGCTGAGAATTGGTTTTTTGTACATTGGCCATTTTGCAAAAGGGATCAGTTCATTGCCTTCTGGTTTGCTTCTGTAATTTGCATGGGAAGGAAAATGTAAAATGCACACATTCTACAGCCGTGCTATCAAAACAGGCACATCCAATTTGTAAGTAAAAACTTCTGACGGTCGCTGTGTTCACAAAGCCACTGAATGTTTTCCAAATCTGAGAAATTTAATTCCAGGTCCAGGAACAGAATTTACTATTACAACATCTGCCACAGCGTTGACATTGTATAATTTACATCTCACTGATACCGTGTTTCTCTGTGTTTCTCCAGGCACTGCAGATTACCTACATAATATTGACATGTGAAACAACTTCTGCTGAAGGCTCATCATACATGTGAATTTTTCTGGCAGTTCAAGGACATTTCTAACAGGCAGTAGAAAAAAAGTTACTAAGCATTAAAAAAAGGTTAGTAGTTATGGATGTCTTATTCATTCCCAGTTTAACTCAGTCACTTGAAACCTACTTAATAGATGATGAGGAAAAGATAAATTTTAAAATAGTCGAGAATAAAAGCATGTTACCGATGAACATAACAGCAATATTTATTGACCGATGAGTGGAGTCTTCTTTAGAGTTAGATGAATTTGAGAAATCTCCCCAGTTTTTGTGCCATGGGGCTCCAGTTTTTTTTTTAAAAAAATAAAAATAAAACAAAACCAAAAACCACTTATTGGCATATGCTCGGCTTAAAATGTCTTACCACTAACAACAACTACATCAATTGTACAGTGGTATCTCAGGAGGAGGAGTGGCAGGTGACAACTTCATAGCTAATTTCCATTGAGCTGCTGCTGAGGAATTGCACTATGATCAGCTACCGACTTTGCGCGGCTTTTACTTTCTCGCTCCTCATCCTCTTCATCTCGTTCGTCATTTCCACTATGGTTTTTACAATAAAGCCTGGAGAACATGTGAGAAAGGGATCTGTTATGGCAGTTTAACCAAGAAGCTGACCTGGCAGCCTGTAATCTTAGCCAAGGCACTCCCTGGCCTGGACTTCATGCACCAGGCTGCTAGGTAACCTGGGTTGGCACATCAAGTAATGGCAGTTTATTCAACTTCTGCTTAGATGAGGCATCTGCTATACATAAGCCCCAGTTCTCAACATCAGCTAGCTGGGAAAGATTCAGTTAACAGCTTGAAAGGAGGAAACACTGATTTTATTGCATTAAAAGCCACAAATTGAACTCAGAAACAGTCACAAAAATGCAGCACAGTCTCCAAGAAACATGTTGTTTCATGTCCTATGTCAATCCTAGAGCAGCCCATGTTTCTTAACTAATCTAAACAAATGTAAGACAATCTCCAGCAAGTATGCTTTCTAGGCCTTGACCTGAATATACTTCCTGATTTATAACTCCTTCAGCCGATTCAGCGCACCATTAGTTTTTACCAATGTCCTAGGTTTACAGATTTTTTTAAAAGAAAGAATAATGTAGCTACCCAGAATCAAACGAACAGAGAGAAGTAGAACTCACTTACTTGTAAATGCCCCGTGACATGTTTTCAATGTATTTTGCTTTGTCCTGTACTCCACAATGGTAATGGTAAGTCTTGATACAAGCTTTAATTTCACATCCAATCGTAGCGCCAGACTGACTACAGAGGGTACACTTCTGTCATGAAGAGAGAAATAACAAGAGGATGAGGAGGTTGGCAAGCCAGCAGCACATTCAATTAACTTTTTGGCAAGTTTACGATTCAAATATAATTTTATGATAAGAGTCAAGCAGTTATTTTTCCCGAGGGCTGAAATGCAAACAGCACGAGATGTGGGGTGCCCAGTCTAGAGATCTTGTGGGAAAGGACAAAACAAGCATGCTTGCATGAAGTAACAATGCTCAGAGTTCCTCTGGTAAGAGAGACTACTGAGTCAAAAGGTTTTAAAAAAAGAGTTGGGCAGAC